AAGCCCACTTTCCCAACTAGGCCTCTATTTCGCCTTTCTGTCTTTGGCTGCTTGTCAGAATCTGTTACAGACTTGTTACAGACTTGTTACAGATGCGGATCCCCAGGCCTCCCTGTAGACTTTCTCTGAGGTGCTGAGGGATGTGCCCCAGAACCTGCCTCTTACAAAGCCCTCCAGGCAATTTAGATGGCAGGGGTGGGGATAGGGATAGTTTTGACCCTGATTGTGCAGAGGGTGCAGGTGGCCCAGAAAGAGGAGGGGAGTCACCCAAGCTCACTCAGAGAAGAGGGAGACAAGGAAGAAATAGGTGTCACTATGCCTGGGATCTATTGTGCCCGTGAGATCTGCTCTGTGAGGGCAGAGGGCACAGGTTGGGTGAGAGGACACTGGCTGCAGCTTCCAGGCTGGGTGGCCCCTATAGCTTCCCAGCTCTGGACTGCGGTCACTGAAGGGGAGTGCAGCCCTCTTCCCTTCATTCCTGAGCACGAGACATTTTCATTGCAAACTGACAAGGGGAGAAATCCAGTCACCTTGCACAGGGTCCCTGAAGGACTGTGCAGCAGTGGTGCAGGTCAGGGAGGGGGCAGCAGAGGGCTTTGCTGCCAAAACTAGATGGAGAGAGAAGCCTGCTGCCTGTCCAACACAGCATGGCAGCGGGAGAAGCAGAGCTCAGCCTTCCTCGTGCTGCTGCCCAGGGCCCAAAAGGCAGAGAGGCAAAGTTGCAGAAGGAGGTTGAGCGCTCAGTGGAATTGCAGATGGGGTGTGTGTGTGTGTGTGTGTGTGTGTGTGTGTGTGTGTGTGTGTTTGTGTCTGACTCTCTGGTTTGGGGATGGGAGGACAGATGAAAACATTTGGCTTCAGGGACCCAGAGCTTGGGAGGAGAAAGAGGAAGAGGTTCAAAATGAAGCTTGAGCCTTTAGGGCAAGCGCCTCACATACTGGGGGAGGCTGGTTTGAATTCACTGGGCCACCAGCTTTAATTCCTCTGCTCTGTGTGTGTGTGTGTGCACGTTTGTGTGTGTGTGTGCACATGTGTGCATGTGTGCACGTATGTGTGTGTAGTGGTGGTGGGGTCTGCAGAAGGCCAAACGTCTAGTTTCAAATTCCCAGCTCCATCTCCAGTTAACCTTGACACGTTCCGCTCTCTCCCTGCCCTTCTGTGTCCTCATCTGCACCTCACAGAGGCAAGAGGATCAAGTATATTAATTCATGGAAACCACTTCGCAGTTTCTGGCACAAGGTTAGCACTTGATAATATCATATTCACAAAGCAATGGCATTAGGGTATAAAATTTATGTAATATATTTCTTTAGAGCAACTCACATTTTACTTAAAATCTGTTTTGCAAAGGGAGCCTCATTCTAGTAAATGGAAAGCCAGCATTATTTGCCATTTATAGTAGACATTAGTACAAATAAATTCAGTGTAGAGAAAATATCATGATTCCATTTTAGCTAGCCACTACTATTGGCCAAGGCTAAGCCTGCTTTCTTTGTTGAAAAGGCAGTTTACCAGGAGTTAGAGAGGTGTTAAAGACCCACTAACGTCTCACCGAGACATTCTCCTTAATGGACTCAGAAAGCTAAAGAGAAATGAAAAGGGAATGACTTTCTTACCATATGATTCAGTGCT